AGTCATGCTGCTCTGGACTCCTTCCGGTGCACAGCACCTGGGTCACTCCCAATGTCACCTAGAGCCAGTTAGGGCAGCCCATGAGTAACCTGGACAGACTCAGACACTCAGAGCCCATTATTTCTGGAGCACTACTTATTTTCAGCCCCAGGCTTCCTGTCAATTCCACACTGACCAGCCTCAAAGCCAGAGAGGGAAGAGATGGACCCTGGACAGCTGCCAAGATTAGTCATGCAGGGCCAAATCCAAGTGCAGCGGGGAGGCAAGCATCTGCTCTGTTTTAGCAACACAGCAGATCATTCCTCACTACCTCCGTACAACTTTTAAAAACACCCACCCACTTGAAAACATCAACTGAAGTGAAATCTGTTGGAGTAGAAGACTATTCATGTGGGTGGACTCATTTTGTTTCAGGCAGAGGGTGGGAAGTTTTTCAACATGGTAAACAGGATTCCATCTGCTGGGAGTTGATTCTCACCTGAAAAACTTGGAGGGGGCTAGCAAAGCCTGCCTGTCAGCAAGAGCAAGGTGTGGGTGGGGGACCTTGGTGTTGATACTTCCTAACCAACTCACTGTTCTGCCCTAGTTTTACTAAGTAACACACCCAATTATATTAACACAAAACAGCAGTAGGAGAATGTTCAAGATGGGACACTGTTCAATGGGCAGGTTCATCACCAACCATCTAGAAAGGTGGGCAAGACCAAAGAGCTTGAAAGAGTGACAAACAGCAACAGTAAATAACGCAGGCTTCAGGACATGGTTCAGACTTTCTAATGCTGTTGGAGTTTAGAGAGGTACTGATCACACCAATCCAAACCTTGCCTACAAGCAATGCCCACCCTGCAGCCCAAGGAATCCACCCCAGAAAACAATCTCGACTCTCCCTGCACCTTTGCTAACAATCAGTTTCTCTCCTGGTCCCCGCCGTTGTACACGCTGCATGAACTGCTGCCTCTATCCTCAGTCTGACGCTACCTGTCCCCTTTCCCCACTGGGTCCTGGAGGCACTGACTTCCTTTCCTTCCAAAATGAACTTAGTTTCCACACATCCAAAATGAACTTAGTTCTTAGGAATTTGGCACACCCCACTGCTCTGTGGCACACTCTCCTCCAAGCCTGCACACCAACTCTCTGGTAGCTCCTTCTGCAGTCCTCAAGAAGCTGGACCTCTGAGCACTTTCATCCCAGCTGGCTAAGCCTCCCTCCCGGATCTACTGCATTTCTGCCTCACCTCTATTGCTTGTTCACTGTCACCTCCAGCACTGCGATCCCCAAAATGTGGGGTCACAACTGTCCCCAGTGCTCATTCTGAGCACTAGAATGTGTGGAATGCACGAATCAGAGGTAGCCAATGGCTCCTGGAAAAGGAGACTGAATGGAAGCTTTCAGGAGGAGAGTTTTAGAGTTAATACCTCCATCTCCTTTTGATGACGACAACCTGAAAGTTAATCAAAACAATGCATCCAACACATATGGAGACCCTTCCTGCCAGGTACTACCCTGAAGTGTACCTGTTACATCTTACCCCATGTTGTTCTCAGAACTAGTCTAGACAAACCATCATCCTGTTCTCCAGGGAGAACAATAGGCCCAGAACTGCTAACGTGTCCAGGATCACAAAGCCAGCGATGGCTGAGGCCGAATCCACCCAGGCAGACTGCACTGCAACCCACACTCCTGCCACCTTACCTGCAACGGCCCCCGTTCGAGTCCTCTTCCCTCTCCTCCCCACAGAGAGGCCTCCATTGCCCTCCCTCCACTTAAGATGCTTGCCTCAGCCACAAGTGCTCATACCTATTAACCCCAATGGGCACTTAGGTGACACGCCCAGGGCAGCCTTGGGGTTAGGACTTTGAGATGCATTGCCATCGACAAGAAGAATCCAAGGGCTCAGAAGCTCCAATGGCCAGGAGAAAGCCCAGCCCACAAGCTACCACCAAGTCCTGATCAGCACAGGCCTTGGCTTCCCACACCCAGCGCCAGCACTTACAGTCTCATCTTCCAGTTTGAGCTGGAGGCTCTTCTCACCCTCTTTGTAGTCCTTGGTTAATTCAGCTGAGCGCCACACTTCATCCGGGTCAGGGATCCAGACCCTTGTGTACTGAAAGATGAGAGGGGAAAAAGTTCAGATACAAGGTGAAGTATGCAGGGTCCTAAACATGTGTCATTACCTAGGAGGGGCCACTACTTCTAAAGCCATCTATCATTCATTTCTGATATTACAAAGAAAGCCACAGAATGGATATTACAAAGAAATCCACAAATTCCCATTTGGGAGACCTAGCTGATATTCTGCGTTCAGGGATAAAGCCACTTTCCCAAACAACAGGTCAACCAAAACATGCTTCAGCATCCCAAGTTGCCACTTTGTGGCTTATACAATGCAAAAGTTAAACATGCCCCCACATCCTCATTCGACCTACCCCAGACACTATCCTAACCTTGTTTAACCTAGCCAACCTTTGGCAGGAGACAGCATGGCCCTTCCAGCCAAGTGGTGACACCTGGAGCAAACTCCAGCGACTTGCCTGATAAGTCTTAACTTGGCATTCTCAGCCCCTGCTGCTCACAGAATCACCCGGCTTCATATCAATGTTTATAGAAGCACAATTCACAGTCGGTAAATGGTGCAATCAACCCAGATGCCCTTCAGTAGGTGAATGGATAGGGAAACTGGTACACACAATGGAATATTACTCAGCAATGAGAATAAAATCATGGTATTTGCAAGTAAATGGATGGAGTTGGAGACTAATGCTAAGTGAGGTAAGCCAATCCCAACAAATTAAAAGCTGAATGTTTTCTGACAATGAGGATACTGACTCATAATGGGGATGGGGGCGAAGGGGAGCATGGGAGGAATAGATGAACTCTAGATAGAGCAAAGGGGAGGGAGAAGGGTGGGGGGTTAGGGGGTAGTAAAGACAGAGGGTAATGATGTCTGATTCCAAAGTACAGATATGAAGACATGTATGGTGTGACTACTTTGAGTACAACCAGAGAAGAACTGTGAAGAATTGTGCTCTGTAAGCGTAATATGAATTGAATTGCATCATATATAACAAATTAAAATAAATAAACCACCTGGCTTCAAGAACATGAGTCCTGGTCCGGCCAATTCACCAGGAGTGACAAAAGCTCCCGAGAGCACCCCATGTTGCACTAAATGGCAGCATCTTGGTCTACTGGTGTCACCCCTAGCCCCACCCTCCACACAGCTGCCAGACTGATTCAAGTTCTCTTCTCACAGGTAAGCAGTTTCCACGGGGTGTCTTTGCTTCAGAAGCTGTGTACATAGCGACGTAGTTTTCTTGCCACAGAATATTCTTAGAAAACTGGAAACTAGTGGCTCTTAACTATCAGGTCAGCCAGAACGTGTGCTTGGGTCAGCACAGTCCACACCTCACTAGTGGAGTGACAACTCCAAGCCCTGTGGCCAGCCAGGCAGCTGCCCGCACATAGGCAGCCAGCTGGCTTTACTTAGGTCCCGCCTCCTCCCAACCACTGCAAGATTATTTTTCTCCAGGTGGTCACTGGGCTTTTTAAGAATAAGACCCTGAGCCCTACTAAATTTCTATTTCATTACTAAGCAGGAAAGTCCTACAGTAATAAAATCAAACTTATCCAAGAGAAAGCAAACATCCACCAGTTTTCATGCTTCACATCGCAATTCAGGTAGAGAGCCAAAATCATTCATTCTGTTACCACAAAGAAATCCACAGAATGTTTCCTTTCGCCCTGCCTCCTGAGCCTGCCTTGTAAGACAATATTATTCTATCTTTATAGAAAGATAACATTTTGAAACAAAGATCTGTATAGTTATAGTACCCGAGAGCTTCTGAGTATTAAGAATCTTCAAGGTAAACTTTGAGCATTTTCCAACCTTCCCTGTGAACATCCCTTCTCCATTGTCTGAGGCCACCATCCACCCAGCAGCTATGACCTGCAAGATCCTATCCCTATGCTTTAGATGAGTGGTCCTATTCCTCAGCCTCAGTACAGTTCTCTAGTCACTATGCTGAGGTATACTCCTGGGACTTCCCCTCCAGTCAGCACATCCAAGAAATTTTACCTGAAACAGCCTCAGTGTAAATGGTGTCCCAATGGCTCAAGACAGGGAAACAACTAAGAAGAATTAAAGCAATCCCAACAGGAAGCAAATGGATGTACTGAGGCCGGGGGCTCAGCCCAGCTCAGCTGGGAACTTGTGTGCCACACTCACTGCATAAGTGATCGTAGCCAGAACGGGAATTAGTCACTCCTGACTCCCTCTGTTAATTGAACTCACCCAGGGTGAGAACTTATCTTTATACTTACATAAAAATGTCTTTCATTAGACCAAAAGCCATGGGTAGGTGGAAAGTTTCTGAATTTCCCACACCCACAGAACTAATCAACACCAGGTCCCACCAAGGGGGACTGTAGTGCTACTTTATTTAGCTCTCTGCTCCATGCAAGGACCTCAGTCAGCATCACTACCACCTGGGAGCATGTTGGGAGTGCAGGACCTCGGCTTCCACCTAGACCCACCACCCGGCCACTCAGAAAGGTGTGCTGACCTCCATCAGAACTCGCATGCCTGTACTCGGGTCTGCTCCTGCAGCACCAGCTCACTTCCCTTTGTAAAAGGGTCAGCAAATTATCTGCAGGCCAAATCTGGCACCAGGTCTACTTTTGTATAGTACATGAATTAAACTTTAGAACTTTTAAATGGTTGAAAAAAATTAAGAGATCAATGTTCACATAATGTGGAAAAAAATAAGTCAAGTTTTGTCATCTATAAAGTAAAACTGGAATACATCCATAACCGTTTATGCATTATCCATGGCTACTTTAAGACTTTAATGATACTGTTCAAAACAGTCCTATGTCTCAAAGCCTAGTAGACTCATTACCTGGCCCTTCACAGAAAGGTTGCCGACTTCTATCCTTATTCTTGCTGGTTTAGGGCCAGGATCCTTTCCTCCCCTGTTCAGAGAGTCCAGCACCAGCACCATCCCCAGAGCCAGTTCCCCAGTGAACTGACACAGTATGGCCCTCTCTGATTAGCTGTATCTGATTTTGCCATCATTTGTCCTCACATCAGTCTCACATAATTACTGTGATAATTTCAGGCATACTATTGACCATCTTTGCATCCTTGAGATCTAGCACCTCCTTAGGATAGAGGTGATGCTCACTACACATTCACTGAGCACAGGACATCAACAGAATGTGTGCCCTTATGGGACACTTAGTTTATACAGAAATACATTGTGGTAAGCACCATGTAATCAGAGTACAAACATGGAAATGCATCCCCTAATTTCAGAACGTATCATCTACTTGGGTCAATAATTCACATAAAAATATACTCTAATAGGGTGTCATGAACAATTCTGGAGAAGAGCAGTGGCTACTTAGTGGAGGGAGAGAAAGCATAAGCAACAAGGTAATGCCAACTTAAAGTTGGATGCCCACATGCCCTCTAACTTTTACAAGGATGTAGGATACACAGAGCTGATCAAGCCAGTTTTAGATTCAAAGCTAGTCCCCACTTGACACCTGGAAGTGTGTGGATATTGTCATACATATGTCAAGCTCCACAGTAACACATGTGGACATGCATTACAGTAACAGGTGCTCACTGTTAAAAATAGAGCGTCTACATCAGTCTGGTTTGAGGGTGCAGGATGGCTGGCCTCCCCTCTGCTTCTTCATTTTTACCCTCCTCCATAGATTCTCAGTCTCAGGCTCTTATGAATTACTGAGCAAGACTATTTATCCAATGTCACATTTACCATACATGATGAGCAACTTACAGGACAGCTAAGGATGGTTTAACATAATCAAATTTTTCATATTGGCTTTGCAAACAACGTCCAACCACTTGGTCACCCCCAGATTGTCTCACCTTGAGCAAGATGCATGGCCCCTGCAATCCAGCCCTAAGTGGTAGAGGGTCAGTGCATAATAAATGGCCAAAGAAACAAACTAGGAGGGAAAGAGGCCAGTGTGCAACTGTGATGGCTTCAGGAAGGAAGACAGATGAGTTCTGAGCTTCCAAAAGGATTTGCTGAGAGCCATAGCCAAGTCGCAATGAGGCATGGCATTTTTGCCAGAATGGAATGGTTGAGAGGTGACACCAGCAAGCCATTGAGATGATAATGGTTATGTTAAGCTGTGTATTCAATTGCATATTAGACCCCTGCTGTCCGCCTTGGCTGCTACTTTGGAGTTCCCGGAGAGCTCCCATTGGTTGAGGAAGTGCCGGAGGAGGGATTTCCAGTTGGTGTGTGGTGTGTCCCGGGAGAAGGCCTCGTGGGTGGCGCTGGTGGAAAAGCGCAAATGCAGTGCCGGTGAGAGTTGAAATAAAGTAGTTGCTGTTTGAACCTACAAGGCTTTGTGGCGGCTTGGTTATTCCTGCCCAGCCAGACTGCGGCAAGGATTTGGAAGCGGGTGGGTTTCCTCTGGGGTGATGAGATGCCCAGGCCTACTGATGTGGTGGCCCGTGCAGCACTGAGCAATATGAGTGCCACTGAATTGTTTACTCTAAGATCAGTTGTTTTTACCTTCTGCAAATTTCCCCCAAAATGCCACACAGCTGTGGTCACTGTGCTGGAGTCTCATCATCTGCGATGTAGCAGTAGGTCAATATATTTCCACAGAAGGCTACCATCCTAAACATATGGATATTCTTTACAAAGGTTCTGAGTTGCCCCTCAATAGCTTTTCACCTCCAAGGAATTCCTCCTGTCCATGACTCTCCCCTCGACCAGCCTTACTCCATGGCAGCAGGTAAATCTGTTGAGAAGGTAAATCTCCCCACATAACCCGATTACAATGCCATACGATTTGTTGCTCTTAACAATGCTAAGTTCTACTATATCCAAGTCAAAATAGCAAGCCTGACCTCATCACCAAATCAAAGAGATTTTGGTGATTTTGGAAAGAGCCCAATATTTTGGCTACAGAAGGCAGATAGGTACATCAGATACATTAGGACTGAGCTGTTCTCCAGACCCGTAGTTCATTTCTCTGCAGAGTTAGCTGGAGCCAGTGGCTTCCTGTGACAAAAACTCAAACTGTACCGGAGAATCACCTGGGGAGCTTTCACCAATT